AGGAACTTCATCTCCTTGTTCTCCTTGTTGGCTTCTGCAAAATCATGGAAGAGTTTGGCTTTTGTCCACATTTTTTTCTTTGCTTCTCTTGAAGTGAACCATGGTTCCTTTGTTCTTTCACATATTTGTTGACGTTCTCCTCTGTTTACTTTCAAGCAATTTGAAAAAGTTTGCATGTAAGTGTCAACTTCTCCCAGTGAGGTGAAGATAAAGCAGACTTGTTTTTTTAAAGTTTTGCTTCTCTTCTCTCCAGTTTCCTCAGACAAGTGAATTTGAGATTTAAGAATATTGATGTTTTTCCCAGTTTCGGCAAAAAGTTTTAGGACGGATATTTCCTGCTCTGTAAAGTTAACCCATTCCCCTAAGTTGCTGATGTTAAAGGGAAATTCATTTCTACTCTGCAGGGACTCTTCAGTGTTTTCTTCCTTCTGTCTTCCTCTGCGGAGTAGTATGAGTTTTTCTTTCAAAAAGTGTTGGTATTCCACCTTTAAGGTTGAGCACATTTCTTTAAAACCTTCAAGTTTTTTCCTCATTTGTGGAAACTGGCTACCAGTGACTGCAAGTAAATCCCTACACCTCATTTCCAGCTTGCTGAAGTCATCCATAACACTCTGGATCAATTGAAGGAACCAACGATTGCTCTGGTTAAATGTTACACAGAATCCTGGAGCAGCAACATTTAAACTGCTCAGAGGTAGCATCCAGACTTTAATCGGCACAACGTTTTCTCCGTTCGGTCCAAGAAGGCTTGGTAGACTCTGATAAACTTGCATGGCATCTTGGAAGGTTCTGGGTGTCTTCTCGAGTTTAAAGTCTCCATAGAAGGTGCAGACAGACTTCTCAGCATTTATTATATTTTTAAATTTTCTTTTCATTGAAGCTTCAACTTTAATAAAAAACAGTTTGGCCTTGCCTTCAATTTGAATGTCTTGATCATTTTCACTTTGAGAAGCCTCTTGTTCAAACACAAAGAAGGCCTGGGCTCCATAAAGAACAGCTGTTACTACATGTGTTGCTGAAGTTCCTTCAAGTTGTTCTTTATGCTTAAGGTTGTTTTGTCCAAGATGTTCCATCGACAGCTCCTGAACTTTAGTTGTCACCTTATATGCCAGTGTCAATTGGCACTGATTTGTGGATGTCTTTTTATGCTCCAAGTATTTGCCAGAACCTTCAACTTTTATCATGTCTAACATGTAACTTGCTTTTAGTGATCCGTAAACATTCAGGGATGAAAACTGTCCTTCAGTTGAATCAGATGCATCCACTTCAAAGGTGTTATGTCTCTGTGGTCTTTCTTGTATGTGTCTTTTCAGGTCATCGCTGTCCCACAGTGTGATTCCTAAAGAGACAAAAACAATATTAGTGTTTTGGAGAGCAGATAAGCTTTATGGTTAGGTCCAATTTAAAGCCAAACTCAGTTCAAATTAATCTTGTAATAACACGGGATATACATAACCTTTGACTCTGAAGCCTCCAAACCTCTCACGTCCACAGAGAAGCAGCACAACACACATTTTAAACACATTGTTCAAGATGTGTTGCATGTGCCACCCTCTTGGTTCCACAATCCCAACTACATGGTCAGGATGCTAACAGAAACTAGTTGGATTCCAATTTCACTAGTTGCAGGTTCCTAAATAATGGAGCCATAATAAGCTTGACGCTCTCCGTCCTTCCCCTTCAGTCCACTTGATGACGAAAACAACAAAAAAAACAGACTGGGTCCTCTTGATAAAAGTTAACGGTTTACTTCAAAAATAAAAACGGTACAAATGTAACTTTTCCACAAAAATAATAAACAAAAGAGAGTCTTAAGCGAGAGAAAGAGAGAGAGAGGTCAAAAAACTGTGTGGCTCCACTGCAACTGCCCAACTGATTCTGCCTGGCCACACCCTCAAATCCTTAACTGCCATTACATATGCAAATTTACAAGAAGGCCTTAGAATAGTCCAATATAACAAATTAGTATGCAATAGAGATATAACTTGTAATCATTTTTATCCAAATAAATAAATTACTATAAGAAATATAAACATAATTTATCCTAAAGGTCTGAATGAACTAAAATTGAATTTCGGCTTCTACACTAGTGTACTATATGAACTGTATTTCCCAGCATTCCCCACTAGAAGAAGAAGAAGAGTTTGAGGAGATTAAGAAATCCTTGGATTTTATGTCTGATGAGATAGCAAACAATCTCACAGCAACAAAATCTTATAATGAGCTTAATGGGGGAAGTTAAAGAATTAAAGAGACAGAATGTAGAGAAAGACAAGCAAATAGCCTTCCTGAAACATCGTGTGGCTGACTTAGAACAATACAGTCGAATGAATGACGTTATAATTAGTGGGTTGGAAATGAAGCCATGGTCATTTGCCCAGCCGTGACAGAGGCAAACATTACTGAGAAAGGGATGAAGAGCAAGGAACTTTCGAAAACCAGGTCATATCATTCTTCAGTAACAAGGGCATTAGCATTGATAATAATGGCATTGAAGCCACTTCCACAAAAAAAAAACAAAGGAGTTAAACCTGCTATTGTAATGAGGTTTACAAACAGGAAACATAAGAAGGAACTCCTAAAAAACAAGGGAGGAGATTAAAAGGATCCAATGTTTATATAAATGAGCATCTTACCAAAGTTAACGCAGATATAGCAAGACGAGCATGTTTTCTCAGGAAACAAAAGAAAATACAGTCAACATGGACTTCAAACTGCAAGGTTTATATCAAATTAAACGGTTCACTGGAGGAAGCCAAGGTACTGACCACCTGACAAATATCAGTGAAACAGGAGAACCAGGCAACTTCTGATCAACTTTCTGGAATCCAGTAATAAATCGAAAATATACACATGAATATAGAAACATATATTGACCCAGACAACAATTTCCTTGATTATTTGAATGACAACTGCCATTACTTCTCTGATAATAACTATAGTCAATGCTTTAATTCAGATCAAGAAATGTCAATTATTCACTTCAACATCCACAGCCTTTATGCTAATTATGAAAAAATCAAAGAATATTTATATCAACTAAAAAAAAATCCTTCAGTGTCATAGCAATAACAGAAACCTGGCTCACCTCTGAGAAGGGAGCAGACTTCCCACTGAGGGGGTATGAGTTCAATTATATAAGCAGAAAGAATAAAAAAGGTGGAGGTGTAGCTTTGTACATTAATAATGAACTAAAATACAAGGTGGTAGAAAAAATGTCAGTGTCAGTTGATGAAGTAATGGAATACATCACTATTGAAATCCAGTTTGAGAAGCAGAAAAATATCATAGTCAGCTGTGTGAACAGAGCACCAACATCTGGCACTGAAGTCTTTACAAACTACATGGAAACATTGTATGTTGAATCCAAACAAAGTTAAAAGTACAGCTAACTTTATCGATATTATGCATAGTTTAGGTTTATATCCACTAATTACTAAACCAAGCAGAACAACAACACACAGTTCAACCCTGATTGACAATATATTTACTAATTACATGGAAAGTAAAATGAGAAGTGGACTTATTACTCGGCATTTAATTTCAAGACCAGTCGAGACCGCAACTGTGAAAATATCACTAAACATGCAGCAT